GGCGGTTTTTAACCGCCAGAAACTACCAAAATAACCGTCACAAATCACACATTTTTTTGTAGTGTAGGTTGGATCTGACCCAAACATTAAAAAATTTAGTCTAAATTCAAATTAACTCTCATTTTTCCTCTTGCCCTCACTGTTCTTCCCTTTCTCTTGCGATTTTGCTCTATCGACCGAGGTTTCCACATACATATGTCTTCTTTACATTAGTAAGATATTATCTATTTTGGACTGAAGTCCTCACGATTTTGCCTTTGGACATCACCCAAAAGGCCTTTTAATCAATGAATACAACTGTGTATATAAATTCATGTTCATCATCTTATTTGAACAATGTGGGACTTCGTTTGCATCCCAAAAATCTTCCCTTCAAATAAAGAACCATGGTTTTACACTTCTACCCCCTTTTCCAGCGAAAGCTACTGTCGCTCCATCGTGAACTCACGATTAACAGGACATGCCTCCTAACCCTTCATGTTAGGAGATAAACACTCCTCCATATATGGACTCATTGTTAGGAAGACTTTCGATGCAAGTGATCCTATATCTAGATTCACTTGCCAACTCCATCATACTCACCAAGTCGCACCGTCACTCCATCGTGAACTCACGATAGCAGAACACGTCTCCTAACCCTTCATGTTACTAAGCGAACACTTCTTCATATATGGACCCATTTGTTGTGCATCAGGAGTTTTTATCACACACACACATGTCTCACATTGGTATGAGATATTATCCGCTTTGGACTTAAGTCCTCACGATTTTACTTTTGAATATCACTCAAAAGACCTTTTAACCAATTGAGACAATTATATGTATATAAATTCATGTTCATCTTTTTGTTTGAACGATGTGAGACTTTGTTTGCATCTCGACAATTCCCTCTTCTCTCTCGTTGCCATTATTCAACGCTAGCTAGGTTTTTCTCCTTATTCTAAATTTGTGGTCGTTAATTTTAATGGTTTTTTTGGTTGATATAATGGTTGTTGTTTGGTTGTTTTAAATTTGTACTGTTTGCAAATTTCAGATTAGGACGTGTGAGAAGAGGTGGCATGCATCATGGGGGCAGAGATATGTAGCATTGGGAGGTGATAAAGTGAGGGGAGAAGGAAATGATTGATGTGGAGAAGAGGAGTTGGTGGAGAGAGGAGGTAGTGACTAGGGATGGCAAAACGGGTCAGCCCGACCCGTTTTGGCCCGGCCCGCCATTGACTCGCTAAAAATGGTTCGAGCTAGGCCGGCCTGCCAATATAAAATGGGTTGGGGATGCTGGCCCGCCCCGCCTAAGAACGGGCTAGTGGGTTGGTGAGCCAGCCCGCATACAAAAAAAAAATAATAAAAAAATAGAAAAAATATATTTTATGTTCAAATAAATTTTTTGCTACAAATAAATAAATATAACTATATAAAATTAAAAATGCATATATATTATACATAATATATGTTCAACAAAAGCAAATTATAAACTTAGAACAAAATCAAATAAAAATTAGTCCACTTACACCAAAATCAAAACCAAATTATAAACTTACAAATTACTTATAAACTAAAATTTTTTGATAGTCCACAAAACAAGTTCAAATACAATTAATTAACTTTAAATTTTTATTTTAAGAATATTAGAAGCTCTCTTGGTAGAAGTTGTCTCTACTTTTTTTTTTATCATCTTCTCATCAAAATAAAATAAACATAAAAAATAATTAAATTAAAAAATTAAAAAAATATATGCGGGCTGGCGGGTTGTGGCGGGCCGGCCTGTTATTTGACCCGTCGGATTGGCGGGCTTGGTAGGGCGAGCTTGACAGGTTGGCGGGTTGAAATGATAGGCCCGCGGGCCACGACCCACTTTGCCAGTAGTGACACACTCGTTTGTGAGTAATGACATTTTTTACATTTATTCACTAATAAAAATTAAATTTTTATCTCAATATAATATATAATTACATTTATTATAAATCTTATTAATATATATTTACATATGCGTTATCAAAATAAAAAAAATTAATGAATTTAATTAGAGAACAAGACTAACCAACCGCATCTAATAATATGTACGTAAGGTTCATGCTTCTATAAAATCCAAATTTAAAAAAGGCACCCTGGAAGCTAGCTAGGTGAGAGAGAAAGTTGGGTGTTGTAGACTTGTAGATCCGTAACCTAAATTCTTTGGCAAGGAGAGGGACACAATTTAAGAATGATTGGTTGAGAAGATGGAACGCATTTAACCACATGAAAGAGATTTCTGAATGATATGGTTCCACTAGAGGCACGAAATAAATTAGTTGAAAGTTTCAGTTGCCGTCAATTTATCATGCCACTGCAAAGGAAAATATTAGACATTACAAACTAACCCAGCCTCGTGTTTATCTGTCTGAATTCACTCTGATTTGGATAGAAAAAATTCGTGTTTATCGAATTCAGGTTCAAGTTTTTTCCGATCGATAAAATTGGAGGCGGGGGCGGGGACGGAGATGTTAAT